CTGCTCATGGTGGTGAGCAGTGAGCAGCAGGGGCAAATAGGGCAGCAGGGTGGCAGATTTATTCCTCCTCTGTGGTTCAGTAGCAGTGACTGTGCAAAGGACAGAGAAGGTGCAGAGGGGCTTTGCTTGTACAGGCAGGCTTTGCTCCTTCTGAGTTTTGCTGCATTTATCAGATTCCTTGATCAGAGAACAAATGTTGCAATGCATCTAGATGGAGCAGGTCCCAGGACTCACAGGGGTTAACATGCTGCTTCTGAGGGAGCTGAGGGCCACTTGCTGTCCCAGCAGGCTATTTTTTGCACCGTAAGGACATTGCAGTGAAACAACTTCCTCTTTTCTGACCCCAAACCTTCACCTGAGCAGGCTGTACACGTGCAGGCCACTGCCAAGTTAGCTGGAGAGCCATTCACAGGAAACTGGGGTCTTTTGGAAACTTCTCCCTACAGGAACACAAATGTCATGCGTTTCCTCCTCAAACACCCCCTCTCTTTTTGATCTTTCGGCCATGCCCTCGACCCAGCTCTTGTCTGAGGGGCTGCTGGCTGAGGCAGCATGGGCTGCAACAATCCGTGCAAGGCAAAGACAGGAAAAAGTTAAGGCAAAGAGCAGCCCGATGGTCTCCTGGTGGGGACAGGTCCAAGCCAACCCTGAAGGCTGCTGCACAAACTGTCCCCTCCCTGCTCTTCCTCTGCTGATGGGGAGCCCCCAACAGCATGACATTACATCCCCCATTCTCTCCCACTTGTCACATAGATCCAGTCCCAAAACCTTGCTTGCACCAGGATGAAGGACAACACATTCCAGCTGAGGAGCTGATAGCATTGCACAGGGTCCTTCTGTGCCGCGCTGCAGGTGCACAAACCCAGCCAGGAGGCAGTCGAGCAACCTGTCCAGATCTGTCCTTTAAATAAGGGTCAGGGAACAGGATGGAAAATAATGTCTGATATACGCATACGATGAAAGGTTGACAATTATTTCATTGTGTGCATCAGTAAGAAAACCACAGCAACAATGATACTGGAATGTGTTTTTCTTTACCATGAATAATTTGCACCAGGTGGAGGGGTCCCTTGCATGCACGAAAATTTCTGTGATTTGGGGGCTGTGTACCTTGAAGAAGAAGGGTCCTGAAACTACCTACAAAAATCCTGTTCTGCCAGACAAGCTGCAGCAGCGGGAGATGAAGTTATTTGCACAGGGGACTTGCCTAAAGCAAAACAGCAGAGGAACACCTGTCCCACCCATGTATAGCTGCACACACTCAGGGCTCTGCCCTGCCACTGCTTAATTTGGCTTTTGGGGAGTTTTTTGAAGAAAAGATCACGTTTGACAGTCAACCTCCTTTGCAACTGCAGAGCCTCTCAGCAGACACTGTAAGTCACTTACTGTGGAAGATCTGGGGGGGGGGATTTCAACCGCTGTTGCACAAGTTGGTTTCAAAAGTCACCTCTAAATACAGATGTCTTGCTTTCCAAGAGCCTAACTTGGGAATCATACTACAGAAGGCAGATTTTGCCCGGCATTTTAATCTGAAGAGCCTGAGGAGCTCAGCAAAGACTGGGCAACCCTGGGAAGCTCACGCCTCTGCTGTAGGGAAGTGCCCTCTGCTCTCAAGTCGCTTCCTACCAGCCCCAAGTCTCACAAAGTTGACAAGAGAGATAGGATGCAGCTGTACGCCCGGGGGATCCAGAGACACAACAGCTCTCCACACTCGGGGACTTCTCTGGGTGGAGAGTTTTCTTATGGGTAAGGAAACCGATGCGTCCATCAGAAACCAAGCTGATGCTGACTAAGAGGTTTTTCCTCTTCCTCTTACATCCTCTGCAGCTCGAGAGGGAATTTCCTGCCCAGTTGCGATTTGGAGAACCCATCCCACACACTCAGCACATGGATGGACAGGAAGGAGCCCTGGCACAGGGTCCAGGCCAGTGCTGGCAGCTCACAGCAACCCCACAAGGCGCCTGGCAGCAGCTGAGCAGCCTGCTTGCCTCTCCGGCTGGTTCCATTTTAATGCTAATATGCAAATAACCTATACTGGAAAATAGAAAAAAAAATTAAAACACAAATCTTATTAAAAAAAAAAAAAAAGTTATGCTACTAAGATTTGTTAAGTGCAGACAAAAATAACCATGCACAACAGCTAACAATAGCTTTATGGGGCCCGCTAGACTCTGAACACCGTCATACGTTGTGTCAACAAAGGGCACTTCCAGTAGTAATTGTCAGTTGCATACACGCACACACACCCTCTCATAAGAGCACCTAGAGCATTAAAATCTTGCACTCATTTCCAGCCATTTTCACTTCAAGTTTTGCCCTAGCCCTGGGCTGGAGTGCTTGGCCTGCGTGCACTCCAGAGGATGTTCTATTCCTGTTCAAAAGCTGTCACCGGATTCTTTTATTTATTATATTTTGTTGGCCCCAAGCATTTGCTGAACACAGGGAGGTAAACTGAGCTTAGAAACAGCCAGCTTGAGACTATCAACCTGGTTTTCTGACAGCATCGAACTTGTTGCTCACTGCGTATTAGAAACATTTCTCTGGTAATAAGACCCCAGAACTGCAGAACCCAGATCACAAGACATTTCTGAAAATGCTGGATGTAATCCTCTGTAACTTTCAGGTTTGATCTGAGCTGAAAGCAACTTAAAGGGATGTCTTCTGGAGAAGGGCTGGGTAGGAGAAGCCTCGCAGAGATGAAAAAGCACGCCATATACCTATTAAAAAGGGAAAGTCCCGTGCAATAATTATTGTATGCATTTAGTCCTGCCCAGAGCACTTTGAATTGCAACTGTATAAAGACATCAGCACAGTAATTTTTTTTTTCTTTTTCATCTCCAAACTACTTACTTAAAAAAAATATATATATATTCTGGGTAGTATAGAAGTATGCTCAGCAGTGTATAAAACAGTGGAGGTCTATGGCAGGAAGAAAGCAGTGTGCAAACCGAGTCAGGGAAGGTATATGACATGCCCTCAGAGGTGAGAAGGCAATGCTTTGTTGCCACATCCCTTTGCCTGCTACTGAGTTGAGCCTAAGGCGCCTGTAATTCTCCTTCCACTCCAACAATTTAATGCACTGACACCATCTCTTCATCCTGGAAAATACGTTATGTGAGTAGGTGCCCAACACCTACCACCATCTGAAAGCTGGCACCATTTGCAACACGAGGCTGAAGAATGGGAAATTCATTTTAAACACTGTAAAGCAAGAGGCACTTTATCATCTACTGTAGCTATCAAGGCTACCTTAAGCCAGAGTTCAGATCTACCCAAAAGCAATACCCTGTTTTTGTTCCTACAAAACAGTCTCTAATCGAAGAACACCTCACAGCAGGATGAAGAAGAGGCCACCACAAACAGTCCCAGCTCTATCTCTCCTGAAAGCCACCAGGGCCACAGCCTCCCCAGCTGTTTCACCCAAACACTCCACATCTGCATGTGGCAGGAGGTTTCAGAGAGGAAAACCCCTGCACCAGGTGGGTTACACAGAGACCTCCTTCCTCAAGTGACCTTATGGCCTCTCCTTCTCACTAGCCTTGGATGTGACCCTCTTTTGCTTTACCAAAAAAACAGGAGCAGGGGTGCTGGATGCTCACTGAGAGCCGCAAGGCCAGGACAAAGGTGTTAGATGAAGCCTGCAAGCACACCGTCCCGCCTCAGCAGGGGAGCAGGGTGCAGCACAATGGATCTCTCAGCGTGGGGAGGAGGGATGTTCTTCTGCTGGGTGATGGGAGATTGGGAGCAATAAAATAATAATGCAATACAACACAATCAGCAAACCTCACTACAGCAAAAAGTTGATTCACTTCAGCTGGTATCTGGCCATTTATTTCAGAGGCATGGGATGAGGAGTACTGGGAGTGTAGGGAGGGGCGGCTGGACTGGATCTCCCCTGACAGCTCCCTTCCCGCTGCCTTCCTCATGGCACTGGTAGCAGGACTGGTTCACTGTAGGGCCGGTCCCAGGCCGATCCAGCCCTAGGTAACACCACTGTCTCTGCTGTCTGCATGGGGCCGCTGATCCTGTCCACTGACCTGGGCTGGTTTAACCGGCAGGGCAGCACGTTTCCAGCTGACAGCACCGGAGTCAGCACAAGTCTGGATGGGAGAGTAATGCAGGGATGGGCACTCTTAGCAGACAGACCCCATATCAGTTATGGGGCTGTTGCTCATAGGGAGCTTGTAGTGCTCAAATCTAGCTCAGAAGTAATCTGTTGTGTGTGCTAACAGAGCATGAGCAAGGCTGGCTCCTGGCACAGCACTGTGGTGTATGCAGCCGTGCCCAGGGCACACCAGAGCCCTGCATATTTAAAGCTCACTGCACCGGGGTGGCACCATGAACTTGCCCATAGAAGCTCATGTTTGGGGCCGTCCTGCCATGTCCCTCACCCCTCTTTCCCATAGCTTGCAGCCCGAGGTACGATCAAGGCAGAGTTTTGCAATATGAATGCACAAAACCTGGAATTTAAATGGGAGAGGAGAGAAATGGGAGAGGGAGAGAAGAGGAGCCCACTCCTCTCTCGCTCCTCCCCACCCAGAGCATTCCAGCCTTTCCTTTCCTGCCACTTGAGAGGGGGGTTGTTTATTGACATTATGCAAGTGCTGAAATATTTTTCCTTTTGCTTCTCTCCCGTCTTCTCTTCCTCCTCCCCCCTCCCTCCTCTGGGGGTTGCAAAGGTAGTTCAAACCCCTCCAGTCATCTCGGCTTATCAGCCGAGGGAGATGCATTCCTCAGGGCTGCTCCCTTTATAAGCCGCTGCTGGCCGCCCGCCCGCCGCTCCGCAGCCCTCGCCGGGAACCCAGCTCCGCTCCCGGCCATGCCCTAGCCCGGACCCCCGACCGCGGAGGGGGGGGACTCTCCGCACCCCGGCGACGATGCCTCCACCCCCGGCCCCGTCCCGGCGCTGAGGCCTGGCGGCATGTTCAGCTGGCACCGGAGCTTCGCGCTGGCAGCGCCCTGGAGGCGAGGTGAGCCCGGCCGCCCCCCGCGGCACACCCCCGGCCCCGCTCCTCCCTCCCGGCCGGGGCCGCCCGGGCGGTGCCCGGCCCGCTGCGGGCAGCACGGCCCTGCCCGCCCCGCCGCCGGCCCGATGCTGCGCTCGCTGCTCTCCGGCTGCCTCTGTCCCCACGCAGGTAAGGCGGCCCCGACGGCTGCTGCCCCCGGCCCCGCAGGGAAGGACCCGGCTCTCCCTTCAGGAGAGGCTGCTGTGGCAGCTGGGAGCAGAGAGGGGCTCCTGAGAGGCAGGGGTGTCCCGGCTGCGAGAGGGTGAGGGAGGGCAAACTGCTTCGGGAGAGGGGAAGGAAGATGGGATCAGCACCCGCAGGGGCTGCGTGCACCCTGTCTCCTCGGGCATCTCAGGAAGGCGAGGCAGAGCAGCTCTGCCCTCAGCGCTGCATGCCTGCCACCGCGCCGGGCATCAGCTCACGCATCCCCATCCAACGGGGATTGCCACCGGGCTGAGCGGTTTTATTCTACTCGCTCCCTCCTCTTCGATGGAGTTGAGGTGACCCGGGCAGAGAAGGCATCTTTGGCCCCACTGTGGACGAGTTGTAACTTCGTGAGTCTGTCAGATGATGTGGTCTCAGCCTTTTTCAGGCACAATAGGTCAAAGCGCGTTTTATCCCTTAGCCAGTTCTGTAGGCTTTGAGACCAGAATCCCCGTGGCATTCTTGCGTGCCCATCAGCTTGGCTTGTACCAGCTGGAAGCAGAGCGTGTGGTTTGTCCCCACTGACATGGCTGCAGTGCATTGGTTTGCTTGGCACGGAGGTGGCTGCGGTTTGCCAGGGTCTCAGCAGACTGTGCTGCGCAACAGCAGGACGGTAAAGATGTTGCAAGGCACCGTGTTGGAGTGATTTTGCTGCCCGGGGTTCTGACTTCCCATCTGCATGCTGAACTTGGACTGCTCCAGGGCAGGGAGCTCCTGGGGAGCCACTGCAACTGCTGTGCCAGTGGGCATCTCCCCAGTGCAAAGGGCTGGCTCGAACAGAAAGCTGCTCTAGAGCAGTGCTCTGTGAAAGCGCTCCAGCATTGCCACAAGATGCAGAGAGTGTTTGAAGAGATGCCTTTTTACAGAACGGTGGAAACTGAGCTTTTTTTTTTTCCCTGGGTGTTACTTGGCCATGAACTTGTTTCCCAGTGGTATAGCATAGACCTTCCAGAAGGGTTGGGAGAGGAAAGGAAGCTTGTTCTTATACATGGAAGTGTCCCTCATCACCCAGACAGCCCTATTGCCATGGGATTGCTAGAGGACTTGGTAAGGGGAACAGACTAATCACACAGGGCACAGAGGAATCAAAAGAGATTCAGCTGGAATCTAAGAACGAAATAAGGAGGGCACTCTCTAATCACCTCATCTGGAAAGGGACATCAAATACTATTTCCATCCCAGTTTGGGCCCCCTCTCTATATGGAAAGAGCCAAGAATTTGCTGTTTCTTGCAAGTTTTGTGGCAGGAACTTTAAAGTTGCAGATAGAAATGCAGTTTAGGAGACAGAATACAATCCAAATAATGTTTTCAGAATGGCAGCTCAATACCAGAGGTCTAGGCTGGATCTGGCTCCCATTGTTGGGAAAGCTGCTGGAGCAGAGGGTATGAGGGTGGCAGGACCTCTCCTAACAGAGAATTTGGTCTAATGCAGCTGCAGGGTGCTGCATCACCTGCCTCTCCTTGTCATCTGGCCCCAGTGAAAGCAACAAAACCAAGAATCCTCACCACTGTTACTGTCACCATAAGATTTGAGACATCACCTTTGGTACAGTTATACCTGCCTACTGCTACCTTGTTTGAGCTGAAGAAGCTTTCCAGGGTTTTACCTAGGGACAGCAATGGCTGCGCATGAAGAATGGGTTAATAGCTCCTGCGACCTTTCTGACACCATTCGTGAGTTCCTTTGACTTCAGCAGAAGCATTGGGGTCTTAATGACTTTAGTCTGTAGGGCTATTGAACAATTGTTTATCCAGGCTTATTATAGGCAATAAAACCTGAATTACTACATACCTGTCATCCCTGGGGGGCAAGTTCCATCCCTGCAGAGGGCCTCCTGTCTCCCAGCACGTTTCTGGCCAAATACACCTTTATGATATGAGGTGGCTTGAAAAATCAGACAGGAAGGGAAAGGTCTTCTAATTTAAGCAGTTTTGCCAAGGTGTTTTCATTTTCTACTCAGATGCATTATCAAGCTGCATGCTAGATAACTAGTTAACATTGCTCTTATGCTTGGCTGTTTGTGAAATACAGAGGTAGAAATAACTATACAAATTGCATACTATTACTATAGTAATAGTTTAATAATTGTAATTGTATACTATTAATATGTTAAATATACTAATATTAATGCATTAAATATATTAACAATATGAAAATATCAAATATACTAACAAGCATATACTGTTACTACACTATCATAACAGTATACAAATTGTATACTATTACTACTATGTATATAATACTGTAAAGATACTGGCCTGTTTCCTTCTGTCACATTCCCACATGAAGGGACACAGGACATACCAGCAGTTGTCACACCTCTGATGAGGTAAAGGTTAGTTTCTGCAGTGTCCCCAGTCAAGGAGGCCAGAGTATTTATGCAAGACGATTTCTGATATTTCATCCTAGAGACAGATATCTGAATGTGAAGAAGTTCACCAGGAAGGCATTGTACCTACAAGACTTCCCAGTGTTTAGCCCTGCACCGTAGGTTGGAGATCTTTCCTCTGTGCTAGCCTCCAGTACCTGCAGTTAGCCTATTATCTACTCCTAGCAGATCCAGGGGCAAGATAAAAAAATAATAATAAAATAAAAATCTGTTTTGAATCTCCCTCATGAAGGAGGGCACAGGAGTGGCCATGGAGAACTATTCACAGGTCTTTAGCAAGAGCTGTGATCCTCCCTGGTGGAGCCTCCCCAGAAAGCCCCACAGGTGCCTGCTGGAGCCGAGCCACCCCCTCCCCAGGAGCAATTATGAGGCAGAGCATGGAGGATTTAGGCAGGGATCCTGTGCACTGGAATTCCCCTTGGCCCGATTTCTCTTCTGGGCTGCGTATTGAGAGAAATAAATTGCAAGGGAAATGCAGTAATGACTGGGTGATGCTCTTTAGCTGGTGCTATGCACGAGGTCAGGTGTCAGCCTAAGAATGGTGGCTGCCAGCCTGCACAAGCACCTGATAAACCAGGTGGCCTGTGGGGACCTGCTGGGCCTCAGCACTCTGCCAGAGGTCACTAATTTATCAGACCTGTTGCCCTGTTTCAAAAACTTAACAGGTCACTTGGAATCAATAGGAGCAAGCAGTAAAAATGTCAAGTGGCCTCACTATTTGGAAAACCATTTCCTCTTTAGTTCCCCCAACTATATCCATCAGTAAACAATCCATCTCCAGCTCATTGCTCCTCAAATGCCTGAAAACAGCTATCATTATCTCCTCCTCTTCCAAAACATACATATTAAAGCAATGAACACCTCTTCAGAGTCCCTGAACCCTGTTATCTTTCTCACAGCATTTATTTTATATGGAATCATCATTACCTGCTGCAGCTCTGGGGTTATCTATAATGTCTCTGGTCACATTATATTACGAAACTATCATCCAGAGGAACTTCATACACTTAACTAATAGTGACATTGGAGAGCACCTCAAAACCAAACAACCCAAGAACTTTCTGTTCAAGGAAGGACTGTTCAAGATATCAGCTTGGTCATAAACTTTCCTTTACACTTGACATTTCTAACTAATCAAACTGTATTTATACTCCCAAAAAATTCAAATGCAGGTGAATATAAATACAAATTCTGAGAACCAGGTCTATCACTCAAACATTCAGCTACCACATGGGAATACATTCTTCTGCAAATACGGGTTTTGCAGTTACACACGTCTTCCCCCCCCCCCCCCCGAAAAAGAAAAATAATAAAATTCAAGCCTTCACAGATTTCCACCCCTGCAGACAGAGGTTGTAACTGGTGAGCTGAGGCCACAACACCTTTCTAGAAGCTCCTAGAACTTCCAAGACTCCAGATCACCCTAATTGCTTAGGAAAAGCCCTCGCTCAGAGCAGGCAGCCCAAGACACAGTACTGTGCTCACTGACTAGCTTTGCTTGAAAGACTTGGGAATGCAGAAACTTTGTGCCCAGTAGCACCCCCGGCATCACCAATACTAGGATCTGGCCTTCAACAGACATCAGGAGGTGGGGAAATTCTCACCCTATGGGAGTTGATGGAAAAACTTCATAGAGCTAGATTTCCTTCTCAGAAGGTCAATCAGGGAGTGGCTGCTACTTGTTTTTCCCAACAGCCTAAGAGCGATCCAATTTTTCTAAGTACAGGACTCCCATCCATGCAACAACACAGGACTGTGAGAGAAGCCATTGCCCAGCTGCAGAAGTAACAGCTCCTGCACACCCTGCATCAGGGCCAGCTGGTGGGCCAGGGCTCAGAAGGAGGTGACAACCCAGCCCCACCTCCCAGCACATATGGTGGAAGAGTCAGCAGCAAAAAATGCCTATTGTTTCAGAAAGGAAGTGACCCTTTTCTCTTAAATGCTGGGAAATTGAAACCTCATCACTGGTGAGGAAAAAAAGAAATCCCCTCTTTGCAGTGAAAGGGAAATGCCACCTGAGCTGTGCTGCCAGCAACATGAGAGAACATAGCAGGCAACTGAGCTGGGGGTAGGCTGTAAAGGAAGGAAAATGATGGAATGTGAGGACTGAGAGGGAGAGGCAGCCTTTCATTTCCAGGTCATGAGCGTGACTCCACTTGCTACTCAGTGCTGCCTTGTGATTCTTCTCAAGCTGGTACAAAGTGGTTATCTCTTAGTGTGTTACCTGGAGACCCCAGCCCTATCACTGGACAAGACTGAACCTTTGGCACCACTGGAGATACAGAGGCGTTACTACACAGGCTGTGTTGGTCCTCTCTGCAGTGCCAAAAAAGAAAAAAAGCCTTTTATGTTTTCTTTAGTAGTGTTCAGAGGTGAGCAGACCGGTGGGTCTGACTTTGGTCGTCCTTTGCTGGGCAGCTGTGCACAATTCCTGCTGCTCCAATGACTCAAGTCATTGGCAATGCTCTTTGTTCCTGGTGCTCTGCTCCCTGTGGCACACTACAGGCCTTCCAGACTTGGATCTAGAGAGAGTTGTGTGTCTTGTGGTAGGCAGGAGTGGAAGAGGCTCCCTGAGCACCTCAGGACTGCTCAGCTCACACCTCTGCCTAGGACTGCCAGCCTCAAAAACCCTGCCAGCACCGCACACTGTAGAAGGGTTTGTTCTGCCCATGAACCTTGCAGTAGCTCTAGGGACAAGCAGAGGGCTTTGATGGCTCTAACGCTGCTGTCACTTGTAGCACAAGTGCAGAGAGAGACAAACAAAGCATGGCTCCAGCTGTGTCAGTGCACAAATCAGGGTGAACGTTTTGAGAAGACAGACGGACACAGATCAGAAGGGAGGAAAGCAGCACCATATGGTTTACAGCATAGTATGATCAGAAGCATTTGCACCATGCCAGCTCCTCTGGAAGCTTTGTACTACCACTAGCAGCAGTCACCCCACTAACAGCCTGGCCTCTTCCATCATCGGTCCTTCTACTAGCCTGATAATGCTACGATATGACACGAGTCAGTACATCAGAGGCAAAGGCACAAAGTCAAAAGAGAAAAGACTAGACTTTGACTTCAAATATTTTGGAGTACAGGGATATAAACGCAGGCTGCTGTTTACTAGAAGGTTTGGAGCTTTCACAGGAGTTGGGTCTGGGCAGGACTGGGAATGCCTAGGAGTTTTGTCTAGACAGTTGTCTGTGTGTTTTTCTTACATGTAGCTTACTTGGGATAAAGAAATTGCTTGAAAGCATTTTCATGCTTAGACACCCATCCTCCTTCCTTAGGTCAAAGATCTCTGGATTAATGTACTAGGCTGTGCCCTGGCAGCTGCTGGTTATTGTGAAACAGGAAAAATGCACTTGGATTTAAACCTCCAAGGAAAGGAAAGCTCTGGGACTTAAACCCCCAAGGAAAGGAAAGAGGATGTGAGAGTAATCATCTCTGAAGGATTTAAGCCTCTCTGCCAGGCTTTGCTAACTGCCAACAGAGAAGTATCCTAGAAAGCAATTTGGAAGTGAAGCAAAGCAAAGTTCTAGAGATTTAGCTGGGTACATCAGCTCCTTTTGCTCCCTACCAGTTACCTCCAGATATTAGCTGCTGCACTGTTACTGCCTCCCTGCTAGGGGGAAGCAGCCTTATCCTCCAGTTCTGCAAGTGCAGGAAGCCCAGCAACTTGCCCAAGGTTATACCTCATCAGTCACTGTCATTTATAGATGTATTACAACCCAGAGAATGCTGTTTATCTCTAGTGCAATTAAAGAACCATATAATCCCTTGAGAAGGCTACTATGCAAGTAGCACAAGTTAACCTGAGACAACACTTGGTCTGGGCACGCATTGCCAGAGATGCTGCAGGAAGCTATATTGATTCCTAAACATGCACATACAGCTCCGTTCCCTCCAGCACTGCCTCACCAGCATCCCAGCCAGCTGTCTGAACGCTGGATCTTATAGTACCTTACCCCTACCCCAACAGGGGTGTAGAAAACCAGCCTGAGGAAGGGAAGCAAAGCAAAACAAAACATCTTGGCTGATTTCCCAGGGAGCAGCAGTGTCAAAGCTGGCCAGCCTCCAGGACAAGTAAATACATCTTACCAGCTTTAACGCCACCCTTCAGCTCTCTGAAGTGCTTGACACCTTCTTTCAGAAGCCGCCGCACAGCCCCGTAACTCTACCCCCGCAGCATGCTCCAGCCAGCACCAAGCAGGAGGCCACCTGCCCAGCTTTGCTCAGGCCCCTTGGGTGTTGTTGGACAAAACACTGGCAGGCTAACATCTCATCTCAACGTAACTACCACAACTTTGTTAGGACCCCACCTAATGAGCTAATTTATAGCAGCTGATGGTCAGGCCAATTTTTTTTTTTTTTTGTAAGTTGCACAGGTGAACTTTAATTGCACCATTCTAGGCTTTGTTGGCACCAGGTTTCAAAGAGCTGAGCATTGTTGTTAGCCTCTTTCAAGATCTGTAGCAGAAACAGTCTGCATCTTGGAAGGCCCATGGCTTAGAGTCCATAACCCAGTCAACAAAGAGGAATAAGAGACTATTACTTATGTGAGATGAAGCAAGAACTCCAGTTTCAGGTTGCTGCCTTTATCACAGCTGATCTCTGCGGTAGCATGGATGACCTTGCTGATCATGGGAAAGTATCATTGAATGAATGAGGATCAGGTGCCTAAACATGTTGCAAAATCCTGCTGTCTTTTGCATCCATTCTAAACTTGTGGTGGAAGATGATAACATTTTGCATCATCACAAGGGGCTGGGAGGATAAATCAGAAATAAATTAAGCACTGTGGTTACAGGGCCTGTCAGTGACAAGATCAATGGTTTGCAGCCTACAAGAGATAAACAATAAATTGTTGTGAAACTATTTGATATTGCTAATGGTCATGGAATGGGGGCAACTTTCTCAGCTCTGGAGCTGGTGGAATTGAGGGGACCTTCTCACGAGGGTCAGGGCGTTCATCTCTTTTTTATTTTTTCTGTCTCCACCAAACTTTGCAGCTCACATTGCAGCTTTGGTATTCATAAGAGATAGGAATTAAAGCATCTGACATCTCCTTCTGTAAGCAGCAAGACCTCACGTTATTACGCTGCTTCCTGATTTCAGACAAAGAAATATTTGTGTAGGCCAGGGTGAAACCGGTTAAGCAAGAAAAAAAAGGGGCAGGTTGAAAGACAGTGAGAGAATCTCCAATCAAACGAGAACATGGCATGATTAATAAGAGAAGGCAATCAGATCCTGTGGGAATAGACTACTACTGCGTTCAGTCATTCCTGGTAGGAATGACAGCTGCATGATATGCTCTTAAAAAGAAAACCATTCCATTGGCAATGTCTTTCTCTTGTCACCCGTCCCAACAATGCTCTGGCGTTGCATTGCTGACAGTCCAGCACTGACTCAAATGTGGCTCTTTGCAGCGGAGAGATGCCTGTGAATGCTGTCAAGGGAAGTGAGCATAGGTCTGTATTGGATAAACAAGATCTTTTATGAGGGGTTAAAAGCACTACATGCTCATAGAAAGCCCCAAAGTATTCCCATCAGATAGGAGTCTTTGTCACTCTCAGCCTTTTTGAAAATCCAGTGTGAAATATTAAATCTGTGTCTGCCAATGAGCAGCGAAGGGCATGTTTCAGTGGTGTTCCAAGAAATTCTTAAGATCAAATAGAAGGAATATTTAAATAAAGTAGAAAATGACTCATATAATAGCTAGCTTGGACTTGATGAGTAAAATTCTCTCGTTTGCTGACATTGCGGAAAGCAAGCTGGAGGAGGGAAGGCTGGAAAATGGGTTGTTTCAGAAACAGGATTTTTTCTGGGTTCCCACGAAGGAAGGCTGCACAGAGCAGAACTCCCTTCCACTGGGCTTCAGACTTTTCTACCTGCTTAGGGACAGTTATGCTACCAGGAGTGAGTTTCTAAAGCAGCTGCATGTTTGATGCTAGGCAAAAAGGAAGGAAGGTAGGAGAGGGGATTGAAAGGAAATGAAGTAGGAAGTAAGATATCCTGACGTGTGTGCGCATTGTAGCCCTCCGAGGTACCCTGGATCAGATGGTAATAAGGGCTCAGGATTCTGCTCTGTGAAATGCTAGGTCCAGAAAAACTGTGAAAAAACCTGGGGCCAGATATTCAGCTCACGTAGGTCAGCCTTTCATCCAGAAGCTGTTCAACACTTCATCCACATCACTGCATAAAATAGTTGTGATGTGGAAATGCGTCGTCTTTGCCCACGTGCAAAAACTCATGAACAAAGCTGCTCCCATGCCCTTTCTCTTTAAAGGGAAGGTAAGAGTTCATTTAAAGAAATGACTTCATAGATAAAGCCATGCAGGGACTACAAAAGATCTACAATGCCTCATTTACTTTTCCTATCAGTACTTGCTTTTCATCACCTGTATGTGTGCAGAGCACTACTGACCAAACAGTTTGCAAATTACTTGTTGCAATCTGAAATCCACTCAAATCTCCAGAAATACACATTTAGTTTTGCACATTTTTTTCTGCTGCTGCCTCAGAATACATTTAATCAGAAGAAATAGTTTAGCCTTAAATTAATGTATTGTGCTTATCTGTGTCTGCATGCAAGTAATCACTAAAATTCATGTGACTTTTTGTACTGTTTCCTACCTACCTACTAAATCAGAACTCTGTGCATTTGTAACCCTCCCCCGAAGGACACAGAGTCTGTGAAACAAAACACTTCTGTTACAGCAAAGTCTACAAGAAAGTCTCATATAGCTTAAGAAAAACAAACCAGGGCTGCCCCCTTCTACTGCGTTACTATATAGACAGCTTTCAATCCCACATCCCTCAGGCAATGCAGTATAGATTAGACTGAGCTTTGCAGCCCCTTGTGACTTTCTACTTGTTTTCCTTTATGCAGGTAAGAAGAGCCCACCTGCTGAGGACAAAGTAGTGCTAACACACATGAAGATACTGACCAACGAAGGAATTCAGAACCCAGCGCTAACACCAGAGACCCCCACTGATGCAGCCTGCACCGAAGAGCCCCATCTCCCTGGTGCCAGCCTCCCCCAGGACTGCCAGGGAAGTCCCAATGCTGTGGCCCCGGAGGCAGACCCAGACTGTGCAGATGCCCCGGCAGGCACAGACTATGTAGCCACACTGCCTGACCTCAGCACCTTTGAGTCCAAGTGCCAGCTTCACAGATTCTCCAAATTTGAGTCTGAGGACTCAGGGGTCGAATTGCCAAGTGGGGCTAATTCTCCATCGACGCCAACAGGTTCAGAGAAGAGCTTTGTGCTTCACAACAGAGACTCATTTTGCGACTCGGGCGTGCTTAGCACCTCTTCGTCCCCAGAAATTGACCATCTGATAACGAGAACATGTAAAGAACGTGCCAGAAAAGTCAGTCACCAAGGTCCAGAGAGTGAAAAGCAAGCTGAGTGCTACAGCCAGGAGTCTGATGCTGTGCAGGTTCCCACAGCTCCCCTTGACAACTTCAGTGTCCCTCAGGAAGGAGAAAATCCTGGTGAACATTTTGACCAGAGCGAAAGGCAATCTCTGGAAAAGGAACCTGCACCAGAGATGGACCTACCCAGGGAAAGCACTCTTCCCACCCCAGATCCTGTAGAAGAGCCAAAGACAATTGCTGACAATTACCCAGAGAGCTTTGGCAGCATGCAAGACCTTCAGATCCCTGGGCATCCACTGAAGAAGTACCCCACAAGTGACAGCCTGGATGAATACATGGATGAATGCTGTCGACTGAGTGAGGTAAGGAAGGCACCTGAACTGAATCTTGTAGCTAGGCCTGTCCAAATACCTCTGTCAGAGTGCTGTTATCTGTCTCAGGTCAGGACACGTCTGAGTTAGAAAATCTCCCCTGAAACTGCTGTGAGCAGCAAATTGTGGCAGTTGATGTTTAAGGTCTCTTTTCATAGCAGTGAAATTCTGAAGTGATTCCCGTGTAGTCTCTAGGTAAGGATGACTAACAGTTCAGGAGGGTCTGATGTTTTCAAAAAGCTTTAGATTAAAGCATGTGCTTGCGTCTGTGCTTCAAGTGAAAACTGTAAGGTAAGTCACCTTGCAGAGCCACACCAGCTCTGATACATGGGGTGGGAGCAGAACACAGTTTCAAGGTCAGGTTATTCCTGTTCCTGGGAAAAGCTGAATGGGCGCTCTGGGGCTCTGAAGTTTGGGAATAATTCATCTAAAGGGTAGTTCATTTCTGTCCAGGTCTGAAGCTGTCTCAAGAGCCAGCCCTTGAATATTGAGTGGACAGGGATTTAATGTATAAATTCAAATCTTTGCTGGGGTAGAGCTGGAGCTCCCGCTTTGCTTTGCTAGAACAGCTGTGATGGAAACTCTTGTGTTCAGAGACTGACCTAACTGCAAAGACATAATATTTCCAGCAGTTGTCCTACTCCAGACTAGCTCTTTCTCCATTAACCAGGTACACTGTGCAACACACAGGAGAATAAAATGCCCTCTGTGCCCCCGCTCCCACACTGAATGCTGGCAAGTGCTCAGGCCAGAGCTGTGCCCAGAGGCACACAGGCACGCTGACAGATCGCAGGCCTGCTGCTGCAGGGGTTCCAGAAGCCAGTGACAGAAAGATCTCACTGGGGGGTTAATGCCTGAGTAAGAGCCAGACCAAAGTCCCCATGGGCAGAGGGAAAGGAGAGGGCAGGCTAGGTGCAGAGGGACACATGAAACGGTGCATAATGGTGACTTTTACAGACAGATACAGCACGCTGCTCTTCTCTCTGCTGCTCGTTTTCCTTCTGCATCAGAGCAGTGGGGTGTACCACTCACATTTTCTTTTTTCACTTTGAGAGGGAAGAAAGAGGTCAGAAAGATGTGATGTAGTGAAGTCTTGGATCCTAAATATGTGTTTAAGCATCCTAGCTGCCTCCTATTTTAGAGGGCATTAGGTGCTTGGATGCCTTAAAGAAAGCCAGTATTTCCTGTGTTTTGGGAAACTGCAATTTCTGATGGCTCAACCTGAAAGATGACACAGGGAGCAGCTGCCAGAAAGTGCCACCCCAAGCCCCCCGAGAGGCAGGACGTGTTAGAGGCACTGCCGAGGGAGCCGCTCCATGCTCACATCAGGCCTGGAGATGCAGCCTGGAGGATCAGAATTTGGGGCCATGTTTCTGGGCATGCCCAGCCATCGCTTCCCATCCAGGGTAACAGCGATGGATTGGAAGGCAGAGAGAGCCAAGTGAGAGGTGTTGCTGTGCACATGATGAGTGTATTTCACCATGACCTCTGCCCAGGCCCTGAACCACGAGGTGATGGCCACCCTCTCCAGCAGGCTAAACCCTCCCAAGCAGTGAGGAAGGTCAGAGATGG